GGAATACGTATAACTTACGTTATAATGTATGCTATACGAAGTTATTACGAGAGAGAGAGAGAGAGAGAGATAAAACGGGAAGAGACTCAGGACTCCGTTATCAAATTCTACCAAATCGTTTGTGATCCTTTTGCGGCATTACCAGGCGGCTTACATCCGATGTTTCGTAAACGATACGAACGTGACGCATCTCCATGGAATATCAGGTCGACGAACGGTTACGACGTCGCGTTACCACTTCAGAGAATTACGTAGCATTAATTTCTGCTTTAAGATCGTCATCTTCTTATAGATGATTTTTTTCTCGTAAATTGATTCAAGAAATTTTAATAAAACATTAACAGCTGCGGAAATGTAACTTTCCTAGGGACTTACTTTTTTCTTTAAAAAATTTTTTATCGCCGAAAACGCATAAACATAAATATCCAAAACTACCGAAGTAATCTCGTGCGAATTTCGTTCAACGTGAGATCTGTTTGCAGCATCCCTCTCTCCTTGAAAACGGTATGCGAACGACGAGAAACGCTGTTTGCGCAACGGTAAAGTTTTCAAACGAGAGTACGTGTGTACGCAGGTGCGGAGCTATACCTCGCGAGAGGAGCGAAGGGATGGAAGGGGGGTGCGACTTTCCAGGTTCCAAATGTAGGGGCGAGTAGCGAGGGGAGTCGATACGCGCGCGAAGAGGGTGAAGACAGTGGTCCCGATCGGTAGCGAACCGAGAGCGGATTGGCCAAGGCCAGCTGCCGGCGTCGAGAAAACGCGGCCATCGCATCGAGCGCCGGAGCGGACGAGGATCGACGCTCTCGACGGAGGAGAGGCCCAGGCAGCAACGCAGGCGAGAGAGGACTCACGGGAGTGTGTGGGCTCTCCAGCAGCAACGGAAGCGAGCCGGTTGTTTTACCGCAGAAACAGCAGCCGGCCACTTTGTTGCACGCCACGAAATTATGCATCGCCGTGAGGCGAGCGCGCGCGCGCGCGCGAGAAGCGCTCGTAAATAACGACCGGGCGTCACGAAATTACTTTCGGGGCACACGCCGTCGCCTCCTCTCCTTCCCTCGCATTATCCGCGTTTGATTCTCGATCTTCTCCCCCTCTCCTCCCTCTCCCTTCCGATGTATGTATGGTATGCATGTACGGTATATAGGTACGAGCACGCCTCGGTTTCGTGCCGCACCGGCAATCGAGCGGACCTCTCACGACTGTTGAAATCTTACGTCGTCGGGAATTTCTCGCGTCTATGGTTTCTGTTAATTGGCCGTCTCGGACATTAATTTGAAATGTTATGTAAACGCAACCGTAGATGCAACCGTGGAATTGTACGTGCGTGATCAGTTAAGGGAAATTATGAAATGGAGAACTTTTTTCACCAAATGGAAATTTAAATTTCTGAAAGCAATCAAATCGTGGGAAACATAGTGAGAGAAAATATTGCATAATCAGAAGAAAGAAAAAAAAGAGAAAAAAAATTACGAAAATTGATGAGAAATGTTAATAAAAATTCTCCAGTTGCCTAAAGGGAATAATAAATTGTATTGTATTTAATATGGTGTTTATTATTATAAGTGTCCTTACAAATACATTAATAATAATTTTCGTAATAATTTTTAATTATTTTTAAAAGTCAATTTTTGTGATCTACTTTATTTTTTCGTGCTCGAATCAGAAACCGAATCCGGAGAAGGGTTTTTGTCCGCATCGGACTGTTTTTATGCAAACTACCCAAGCCTAACGTGAACCAGTACTTTCCTGCTCGTCTATACGTAATGTAATCTAATGTATACGCGGCTATAACATAATTATACCATACTGCATTAAGAAAAAGAAAATATATAGATTTCACGCGATAATAATCAAATCGAACTTACCCAGAACGGGATTTCCGAATTCAAAGCGACGAAAGTCGCTCGAATTTCGTCGAGCCGAATCCGGCCGATTCTTTTGATTCGCGTCTAACGGTAGATCTAATCTCCCCGAATGAATGTATATATGAATTGCGAGTCGGAGAAGAGAACGAGTGCGACGCAAGTGCGACGCGCAAGGTGACGATGCGTGTAGCTCTCCTCTTCGTAACCTACATCCAGCCGCGCGATCTCCGCCGCGCGCAAATCCTGGTACGTCGACCGTCGACATCTGAAAGTATAATGGCACGCATGGCGTTAGCCGGCATTAACATACACCGCCGTCTAATAAGCAACGCAAATCGGCGAGCAGATCAGAATGCAGTGGTGCCCTTGCGATCTCCGCCGTACCTCGGACGAGAGCCCGGGCGCGCTCCGGTCGCGTTTCGATAATTACGCGCGTTGCGTAACGGCGCGTACAGCCCTCCATCTCCCCCCCCTCCCCCTCCGACCCCCTCTTGCGCGCATCAACGACGCGCCAAGGTCTGCTGTTTCGTGGAAAGTCCGCCGAGCGAGACGGCCTGGGAAATTAGCCGATACGAGAAGGGACGGGAGGGAGGGCGCGCTCTTTCGCAAGAACCGGTATATATTTATCTCCGATATCGTTATGATATCGCGTTAAATCGCCCGCGCGAGACTCGCGCTAGAATTTCGCAAGACGCTCGAGTTTCGCTCAAGAAGAACACGTGCAGCGATCTAACGATCGCTCGTCGGTCCCTCTCGCTCGAGAAAGATCTGCATACGGCGCTATGTTCTTTGTTCTTTTTTTTTTTCCTTTTTGCTACGGCAAAGTGCGTACTATTTTCGAAACGTAATTGCCTCGTTATGTTCTTACGCCACGGGAAAAAGTGTACGTGAGCGCAAGATTATTTTTCTCAAATTTATTTTAAATGGTTATTTGCCGTAGATGTATAGGCGTTTTATTGTATTTTTAAGGGCTTCGCCGGACTCTTAAGGCGCGAGAGATGCAGACGCAGTAGACAATAAGCTCGGGCTAGTAAAAACCGTCCATAAACTATTTTCTCCGATCTATCGAGATATACCCAGGGCGTTAGCGGAGCAGATATCTGCTCTAATGGCATACCGCTTTTGTAACGCGAGCGGAACATATGGCGGGCCCCAATATAAGCCTCGTCCGAATATACACGGGGGCCCCACCCACCTCATCGCATCCCTCGGAAACCATACCTTCGACGTTGATCCTCTCGCGAGCGAACGGTCACGCTCGATTTGGCGGTTTCGTGTGTTCGTGCGATTTTCACGGGTCGCAGGTAAAAGCCGGTCGGCGAGGATAATGATTTATCGGGCTCCGCTGGGTGGTGGTATAGGAGCCCCTCCCTTTCCCCCGGGGGGGGCCATTCGCAAGGGGGCTTCACCTCCTCGCATCGGCGGCACGAGCTTTTCTTTTCTGTTTTATTAAGACCCGGGGTTCTCGGATCGGCGTCGTTGCGGCCGCTCGAGAGGAGAGAATCCATTACGCCGATCGCGCCGCCTGGCCGGCGATATCTCTCTCATTTTTGCGGCGTGTAGCTCGTCAAAACGATCATCGGGCCGCCTCGATATATATATATGACGTGTTGTGCCAGATATCTCGCGAGACGTGCCACAACTTCGTCCCCCTACCGGATGTTACATAAATCGGATCGCGAGAGCGCGAGAAACGCGGCCGAATTTTGGTCGAGTGACGACGTGTAATTCGTCCGGCCGGAATAATCAGCCTTGACGATCGGACGATCGGTCCGCTCAGCCGTATAGTTATCGGCCATTTAACCAATTAGAGATTACCATCTAGATATTTATACGGTCAATTGGGATAATTGCGATAGCGAGGTAAACGAAGCATCGCGAATATGAATATTATTTTATCGTTGAGAAAGATACCCGCACTTTACATCACTGTAAAAATCGTAGAGGTATATCATAAAGCCCCAAAGTTATACGTTTAAAAGCGTTTTTAAACGTTTCTCCAAACAACAAAATCCTTGGATCTCACTCTCCAATTTATTTATTCCCTTCATTCTCAATCGGCTACATTTCAGAAATTATATCCGTGCCCGAGCGTTTCTGACGAATTATTTCAATTATTTCGAGGAATTTACGTATCATACGTATGCACTTAACGCGCCCATTATCAAGCGGAACCTGCATCCGGGGAGTCGTCCGGGTCGACCCTGAAACCAACCAACGACGGGGCAATACATTCGCTCGCGCGGCCCGATATCCATTTGAAACTTTCTCACGTTTCGCGGCACAAATGACGATTCCGTGTTTCACGGCCACGCGACTAGGAAGCGGTGAGGTGATTTACAAGAGCGACTCGTCGTCGTCGTCGTCGTCGTTGTCGTTGTTTGTGCGTGAGCAACGAGCGATCCTTGAGTTCGAGGCTCGGTGGGACCTGGGGAGGGGGCTCGGGGGGGGAGGGTCACCGACTATGCACCATTACGTATGATCGAGCCCTCAGCGCGAGTTTGCCTCTTTTCCTTTCTCGCGACTTGGCGCTGCGACCGAAAAGGACAATACCGCGCTTGGCTTTTCCTCTTCCTTTTCCAGCGATAACGCACGTCGCAAGCCGCGCTTGATCTATGGATCCTTATCTGCACCGCAGTCGACGATCACGATCGCGGAAGAGGAACGCCGTTCGTCATTCCGTATGTTGATCGCGTTCGCTATCGGTGTTTTTCAATCAACGTGGAGTAATGCAGCTGGACGGACATTTTTTAAATGTTTCGCGAAGGATGTACGACGAAAGGAGAGAGAAGAAAATTAAATGCCTCTGTTATCTTGGTTACTTAACTTTCCATTATTTTAATTGCTAATTCGAGTAATTTTGATGATGAGTTTGAAATTATTTAATTATTTAATTAATCAGAGAATAAAATTTTTTTAATATTAATGTTAATCTCCTCTTCGCTTCTCTTTTCTTTTTCATTCCGCGGAACTGACCAATTAATACCACATGCTTATAGTGTCGAGAATAAAAATTATATTTGGCTCGATGCTTCTCGCAGTGTATTCTTACGAATGGAGGAACATTCAGCACGTCTTAAAGTCGTATCACATCAACACATTCTTAAGGTCGTATCACACTGTACATCGAAAAATTATGTTAAGAGACCGCTTTGCGAACGCGCACCGCGAATGAAGTCATTGCACGCGGCAATGTGCAGCGGGCGAAGATCGAAGTCCAGATCGAAATTGCAGCCAATCGAGATTTCGAAGCCCGATCCGTTCTTCCAATCTGCGCGAAGCGAAGAGCGTTCGGCGAGCGAGTAGCGTGATACGGTCTTTACGCGGTTTGTCACGCAGAGCTGCCGAACGGAGCGTACGCGTCGTGCCTTACGTTCGCATGCGTGCGCGCGCGCGCGCGCGCGCGTGTGTGTGTACTCGGCGAAACGACGCGCATATAGCCCGGAGCGATGCACACACGCACGCGATCGCTCGCCTCTCCGTCAAGTTCTCGCGAAGGCCACCATCGTATAGCGAGTTGAGATGCGAGTGTGTCTCTCGGATTCGGCCTTGGTCACCCGCTTCCGTCAGCTGCGGGCTAATTGTGAATAACGTGTCGATACGCACGCATGTGCATGTGCACGTACGCACGCACTCACGCATGCACGCACGCACGCACGCACGCACGCACGCACGCACGCACGCACGCACGCACGCACGCACACGGGCAGGCAGGGCCGAACTCAGGGCCTCGATTCCGTGACAAGGAGCCGCGAAGAGTCTTTCCGTGTCGCGCCCGCTTCTTGTAGCGTAATGTCGGAAATTATGCCCGTAATGTCGGAAATTATGCCGAAACGGGAGCAGCCGTTCGCTTTATTACGGGTGTCGTGTCTCTCCGGTTCGTTTACCTTCGTTCTGCACGTCGTTTTCCCTCCGCGCATACACAGGCGCTCTCTTCGCGGTCGATGATTGGATCGACGGTACGAAAGGACGATAAAAAGGAGGAATCGGCGAGCCCCGCATTCGCCGCATCCCACATTTGATGTGAACGAAACGTGATCGTTCGATTCCGGGTCGTGTTTGTCTAATGCAAAGATCACGGTCAATTTGATGTATCATAGGCTAAGAATCGCGCGTAGTCAAATGTCGCGCGTAGTCAATGTCGAGTTAAATATACGGTATCGATTTATGACTCATGGGATTCTCTCTTGACATGGCAATATATATTTTCGAAAGAGCTCTAAAACTCTAATTAGAGTTACTTGAGATATAACTCCCATAACATTGTTCTTCACAAAATTGTCGTATTACTGTTGATTATTGAAATTATTTTACAAAATTATCAATTATTAAGAAACCGACAAATTCAAGAGAAATGAACGAATATACAAACGCTCGTTTTTTATTTCTCTGTTACAGACGAAGAAGAACAATCCTAATCGCATCAAGCGACCCATGAACGCGTTCATGGTCTGGTCGCAGATGGAACGCAGGAAGATCTGCGAGGTTCAGCCGGATATGCATAACGCTGAAATCAGTAAAAAGCTAGGGAAGAAGTGGAAGTTGTTGTCGGAAGAGGCTAGGCAGCCTTTCAGAGAAGAGGCCGAGCGACTCAGGCAGCTGCACCAGATACAGTATCCAAATTATAAGTACCGTCCCAGGAAGAAGACCTCGAAACCCGCCGAGATTTCGAAGGCGAAGGAGAGGAAGAGATCGCGAAAATCAGTGTCTTCGATATCTTCGTCGCCATCACCATCGCCGTCGTCGTCGATATTGTCGACGCCGTCCAACAGTCCGGTCTCGATCATCGAGCTGCCTAGCTCTTCCTTGCCACCATTATCGCCAGCCTCTGCGACGCCCGCTACTAGTCACGCTGTCAAGGCGAAAAACGACAATAATAACAACACTCAACAGTTGAAGAAGTCGCTGAAAAGGATCCTGAATCCGTCAAACGTCAAATCAGTATCCAGGTTGAGCTCCAAACCCGTTCGATTGACCCTGGAATCCCTGGAGACACCCCGCCATACGCATTCTAATGTGGACTATACCTCTGAACGGCCAATAGTCACCGCCAAGGTTCCCACCAGTCCGACCTGCGACAATCCAGACTCGCCCGAGTCCGCCTTCTACGAGGAAAACCTTTCCGAGGGCGTCACGTCCAGCAATGCGGTCAATAACGCGGTCAGCAATGTCGACTCTATTAAGATCAAGCAGGAACCGAAGTTGGAATCAACCCTGGAACCGAAATTGGAACTGAATTTGGAACCGAAGATGGAATCGAAGCTGGAGTCAAAGTTGGAGTTGGATCAGATGAACTTTGCCTCGAAGGATATATGTCTAGCGTCCTTCGACCTGCCATCGATGATGCGAGCGGACAATCGTTACGCAAATATGACGACTTCCGCCAGCCGGCAGACGCCCAGTTTTAACGTGAAGCGGGAACCGTCGCAGTCTATGATGATGGACGCAGTTGCCCCGACGACGATGCTTACCCCGCAATCACCCATCATGTCATCCGTCCCTACGACAACGATGACGGGTACCACGGGAGCCATCTTGGACCCTGACTCCCTCCTCGCGGATGATTCCCTCATTGGCAACATCGGTCGGCCAGTCAAGCTCGAGGAACTCATGAACAACTTTGCTGAACTCTCCGATCCAACGTTGACCGAACTGTCGTCCGAAATTGGAGTAGACTACATGGATTTTGAGTTCAGTCGAAATGAAGAATTTTTAAATCTGTTCCAATCTAATGGAATGGACGTATGGAATGGATCTTGCTATTGAAAAATTGAGAGAGAGAGAGAGAGAGAGAGAGAGAGAGAGAGAGAGAGAGAGGAGGGAGGGAGGGAGGAGGAGGAGAAGAAGAAGAAGA